GTAGCACCTTGATTAGTTTTTTGCACAGGAGTAGCTGGTTGTGAGCGTTGCTGCTGTCGCATCAATTGAATACCTCCTACACTGGCACCGGCTTGTGGCATCTGTAAGCCCGAAAGCCGAGGCTGTTGTGATGGCTGGGTTTGCTGCTGCTGCTGAGTATGATGTTGTGCGGCGGATGTGTTTTGTGCCGCCATACCTGCTCTACCGTTGGGTGTTGAGTTTTCCCGAGCTCGTACAATGGATGAATTATTGCGAAGGGATGCTGGGGTCTGTTGCGCATGACACTCTTCGTAATGTTGCAAAAGGTCATGTAGTGTTGGTAATGTATTGCCACAACAGCTGAAATCTTTCATAAAGTTGGCTTCGAGCTTAGGAAGATAGGAAGAAGAATGATATGAAGGCGATTGATATGGAAATGGAGAGGTGCCGGCCATGATAATGCTAATCAAAAATTGTCAGTGTCATGAAAATGGAAATCGTGTGCCCCGCACTTGCTAGGGGAGATGGAACATTTTCGTTTGGCAATTGAGATGAGTGAAGAATCTAATTCTATGAATCACGAAATAATTGCACCCATATCATGGCAAAAGCGAAGAAGATTGGATTAAACTCACTCATCTCGAATCCAACTCCCAACAGATACGCCTCCCCAGCTCATGCCTCCAACGAGGCTGCCTGCCAAACTTTCGCGACGAGGACGATCATTAATTCTATTTGGATTGTGCATAGATATGGGTTTTGCGGCAGCAAATGATTCTTGTCTGGAGCGACCCATGTTATCGTCGAATCCTGTGCCGGTAGTCATGATTCTGGCGGAGGTTTGTGAATCCGGGTCGAGATAATTGGAATTATTTTTGTTGCCTTGAGATGACGGAGATGACGATGTATTTCTTGTGGGCGTGGCAATATTAATGGGTGAAGAGGTTGTCGTCATGTTAGATTTCAAATTATAGTTATAATCGCAATCCTCTGGAGTCGTAGGGAATGAAGCAGTATTATTTGAATCGGGAGAAGAATGTGAAGATTCTTGTGCGTGGATATGTAATGTAGAAGAGTTGGAGTTGCCTTCGTACTTGAATTTATTAGTAGCAGTCGAATCGATAAGTATCGAGTCCGTGTGGGTTTCTTCGCATGAGGCGGCGTGGGATTGCTTGAACCAATCAGAAAGAGGCATAGAGGGATTAAAAGTGGATCTGATCTCCGTTACTAGGATTATCTAATTAGCGTCTAATTGGAAAAATTGTGGAAAGTAATAAGTAAAACTAAGAAAAGCCACTAGAGCACATTTAACAGTAATGAATTCTTGTCCTTGGTGCGGACGGTGCATGCCACTTGTACCAGGTCTGACTGGGAACAAACAACAAGAGGGTCGGACGAGGGGGCAGGGTGGATTTAAGTGGAGAGGAAAGTTGGGAAAGAAAGAGAGGATGGGATGTGGGCTGTCGGAGGAAACATGGGTTACCAAATGTACTTGGTTCCATTCATGTAAAGAAGGCCTCTTGAGCATGTACTAGGTACCAATACGTACAAGTTGAGAAACCAAATATAATCCGGCAATTTTGTGTCGAAAACAACCTACCTAATTGGGCTTTAGTTGGATTCTACCTGGTAGTTCTCACGAACTCGTCTACTGACTACCTTGGTTCTGGAGAGACGAATTGACAAATGGAATGTATATGTAGCAGGTTGGTACAGTAGGCGAACGTACTCTGTGGCAGGCCGGGGTGAATAGTAGATGTCCTTTTATCAGCTAGTTAGGCACACGCGTGAGCTAAAATTGGGTGTGGTCGAGTAGTCGTAACTAAAGGCGTAAGAGGTTTTCGTTTGCCAGAAAGCGAATCGAACGTTGCAACTTGCAAGGTGTATTCAATGTAGGGGAGTAAGCAAGTATGTCACTTCTGATACTTTGGTTTCCGTTGGGACCAATCTTTACAAGACGTTCTGGTCCGTATGGAGCGGTAGCGAACAATTTGAAGCCGGGGTTGAACTTGACACACACCAGATCAAGGAGGGTTGTATCGTGGCGCGAATAGTGAATAGGATATGGAATAATACACGGTAATGGATGGAGAACTTCGATTATTTTTGCTGCAGGCAAGGGAGTAATATAGATCAATACGATTAGTGCATGTGAAAGTACCGTTGATAAAATAATGTAATGTACGTTTTCCCATGGGGGCCCATGGACTGTATTTAACTACTTCTCGACTGGAGGTGGTCACCGTCTGAAATAAGGGTAATGAAGTTCAAAGGAGGGTTCAAGCTTGTTACTAGAATTATGAAATTAAAGTTTGAAGTGATGGATGTTTCGTTCGGATTATCAAAGACCGGGTGGTTGGCTTGTGGTCAATGAGTGGTCAAGCATTTTGTCAAAAGGTTTACAAGGCTCAAGGCTCCAAGGTCCCTCGAATGGGTTCGGTCCCAACGCTTTGGATGAGATGCAAAGAGGGCTCCGCAATTAATCTTTCTAGAAGCTTGAAGGAATCTGTCATTGATGATGTGTATCTTTAGATGTGGAGATGTATCGACCTTATTTGTGACCTGCTTGATGTATGAGACAAAATTGAGTGTATCTTTCCTTTGCAGTCTACATCATGCTTCGGATGTGTTTACTCTACTACTGGAATCCTTTAACATGATAGATCATATGATAAATATACGGTGAGATGAAACCAAAACAGCTCTCCTTTTCTCGTTCGCCAAATCCAAGCGGTGAGCCCCGCCAAATCTGCCGACGTTGTGCGGCGACGGTTCTGTTCGAACGGAACATAACGATTCAGAGAAGCGACAGTGTGTTGAATTTGAAGGAAAGATTTCGACCTTGAAAAGATTAATATAGAAGGTTCTATGCTTCTTTCCCTTCCCTGAGACGTCTCGTTAATGGATCTGGACAGATCTCTCTCCCACGGTGGTTCATTTAAATTGCCCTCGAGTCGTGCAACCTCGGTCTCCGATGGAGATGGGGTTTAGAATATCAAGTAGCTGTTTGAAAACTGTCAATCATTACTGAGTATCGCGGTCAATCCAAGAGCGTTAAATGCTTCAATGTGGACATACCATAAGCTATGGATCCGTATAGCTCACTCTTGCTCATTTCGATGTCATGGCGATATCATTCGCCAGGAAATCGCTGTGCCAATTAGTTCGGAGGCAATATTTAATATATGCAGCTTGACAACTCGAATTATTACCCGTACGGAGTAGAGCATCTAATAATTAAATCAAGAGGCAAAAACCCTGTCGTCCGAATAGCTTGTGGACGTGTTCGGCGTACGAAGTTGTGGATTGTATATTACAGCCATGATCCTAACTGCTTGAACACGAATCGTATCCATTGCTAGAGCAGACTGTAACGCCAAACGCCTAGAGTTCGGCAGGTAAAGTTATGAACGGCAAGCGGTCAGAAGTTTAATCAGCAAGAAGACATCAAGATTCAAATGTACAGAGTATGCCTCTGGATCCATGATGTCAGAAAGCAAACTTAATATCTTATTCTGTATCCTTTACGCCAATCAGTATCTGTATCTGATTCACAGGACGGGAAGACGACAAGTAGTCGTAAGATGCGGGGGGGGGGCCAAATCCAATCCCGATCCGACATATTTCTCTTTTGAGAGATCTATCAATATCGTTACTTGACAGCTTGGATGAAGGTTAAAATCTTCGGCTTTACTAGATTGACTTTTTAGATTTGATTAGGAGGCTGACTCGCGATTCCTTACCCTATGATACGATACATCGTATCGTGCGTCTGCCAAATGTACCACGTGACTATAGTTCTCGGTATCGATAGCTGAGCTGAAATGGTGTAGATACCTGGATACTAGTTGCTTTAAGGAATGCTCTAATGGAGGGGTAGAAGAGGTTGAAGAAGTTTAAAGAAAGACAAAGTCCAAGCTAACGCCAAAGCCATAAGCCAAACGCCGAACTTTATGTTCGTAATTATCGGGACAAAATGTCCGCTGCTGCAATGCACATCTCATGGGAATGAACTATGAAGATCTTGGAAAATAGCGACAGTCATGTAGGTTTAATGGCCAATGATCCGTACATTCTACTCTACTCATCAGTCTACTTTCATGGTTCACGTCTAGGTACAGTAGGTTGGATTGGATCTACATAGAAACGTTTCTCGTCTTTCATGAATTCTCAAAAATGCATCGTTCATTCATTCCTTCATTCCTTCCGTGTTGCATCATGGCTGACATCTTATATACATACTACTTATACTAGTTGTATATCATTTCAATCCAGTATCAAACTCAAACTCAAACTCAAAATCAAAATCAAAATCGAAATCGAAATCGAAATCAGGATATTTATCTGCACGTGATGACGGGAATTATCTCGGAAATCGTGATTCGGGATCCCATCACATACTTATTAGTAAGCACATAAGGTTAACTTACATCATCGTTCTAGAATGGAATTATTGGGCTGCAAGGAGCTTACAAACTGCCAAACTGCATCATACATACCACCATTTCCGAAGATAAAAATTTCTCGGTCTTTGAAAATGAGAGATGGGAGATGGTATAAGACAGTTAGGTAGGTAGGTACTATTTAAAAGAAGAAAAAGAATCAATTTCTTTGTGAAATTAATGAATCAATATTAATATCAATATCAATATCAACATCAACATCAACATCAACATCAATATCAATATCATATCAATATCACATCTCTACATCATCCTGTCATTTTCTCGGGATTTGATTCCAACTCCTCCCCACTTCTTTAAAGAAAGACTTTTGAACGACATCATCGACTGACAGCTTATTAACGACCCATTTTCACGAAAACAAAACGTACGATTGATTCAAAGGTACAACAAAACATAAATAACCGCAAATACAAATACAAATACAACAACATAATCAAGCAGAACGATTAATCTACTTTTTCAAAGCTTCTTGCAAGAATCAATCAATCTTTATATTACCCCTCAATTCGATCTCCAACCTACAAGTAAATAGCTTGCCACTACTATATATAAAATATGAAGATTCTTACCAAGGAAGAAGAGGCTGAGCACTACAATGCTACTTTGAAGGGTGGCATTACAGGAGGTTTCATTGGTCTCGCAATGGTATATATTTATTTGCCTTCTCAGGATCTCACTCAAACAAAACTGACCAAATTTCTCAGGGTGGCGCCGCACTCTATGTAGCCAACAGACGATTCCACACCATCCGCAGTCTCACCATTCCCATGAAAAGTTTCCTCGTCTCATCATCCGGTACTTTCGCCGCCATCATCAGCGCGGATCGCGCATCTCGCTCATACGAATGGGATCGCGACCCCTCGCGAAATTACAAGGACAAATCGACGCTCCTTCTCGAACAAGAAAAAGCCAACGAGACTCCTGCGCAGCGTCTCAAGGCATGGGGAAAAGAAAACCGATACTCAATCGTTACCGCATCGTGGGTGGCCAGTATGGGAATCGCCTTTGGGATGGTTTCCAAAAACAAATATTTGACTGGAGCCCAGAAGTTGGTACAAGCAAGAGTCTATGCGCAAGGGTTGACATTGGCTGTATTGGTTGCGTCAGCGGCATTCGAGATGGGAGATGCGAAGAAAGGAACAGGAAGGTGGGAAACGGTTACGGTGTTGGATCCAAACGATCCGGAACATAAACACTTGATCCAGAAGAAGATCCACCACGAAGCTTATGAAGGAGAGGATTTATGGCGTGGTATGTTCCAATCATTTTCAGAGTGCTTTGGCCAAACTTTGAACCTATACTAATCGATATACATAGATATGGTAGAAGCTGAAGAGCGCCGCATTGATGAACGCAAGAGAGTAGCGGAAGAAAGAAACCACTCCTCGGGAAAGACATCCCCGGGTAAAGAAAACAAGGATAAAATCTCTATGGAGATGAAGAGTGCTGGAAAAGTAGCATTTGCAGATGCCAAGGAAAGAGAAGAGAAGAACCAGGCCGAGCAAGCTGAAAAGGAAGCGGATGCGAAAAACGAGTCGGCACAGTCTGAACCAAAAGTGAATGGTAGAAATAAGATCTAAAAATGGAACGTCTGGTTGCCCAACCTTTCTGGTGTTTTGTATGGGCATTGGATGGCGCGCTGAGTGATTTCTGGATGATAGATGGGGGTAATTAAAAAAAGGGGGGTGTTTGGAGAAGGGGTCGAGTAATTTTGTATATACTCCGGTTCTTGTATCATTAGAATGACAGACAAACATGTCTCAAGCACTTTTTGTCCATTCGTCGACTTGCATTGTAGTGGTATATGGTATATCCAAAATCATCCTCATTCTCTATCTGGCAAGCGCCAATTGCACAAGTCGAAATACTCGGTTGACAAAAATAGGAGCAGGGAATACCTACCATCGCTCATTGCTTGGGATGGCGAGTGTGATTTAGCATCCGATTTGCAGTGATTGCAGAGGCCAGGAACGAAGAGTTTCTCGGTGGATAAATATTCTTCTGTCAATAATGCACCAGGAAATTCACTTATACCTAGGTAGGTATACAATACAGTAATTGCAGCTATCGTCTGATACCGTGGGAGAAGGTAAAAAGGGCCTTTTCTTCTTTTCTTATAGTGTTAAATTGTCGGGTTGGAAATGTACTGGTATGTATGGCCTTGTGGGGTGTGAATGGAAGTAATATTTAATGATCGATGGTTGATGTTTGAATCTTTGAATGGTAGGGTTGGGAATATAGGAGGAGGGGGGGGGTGGAAAGTGGCTTGGGTTGGTCTGCTTTTTTCGTTCACTACCTACTAGGCAGTTTGAGTAATTGTAAAGAAAGGAGTTGGGTGGTGAGAGAATTGTTTGTCGAATTGGTTGGGTGGGTGGAATTACTGATGCTGTTGAAAGGTAATTGGCATTGCGGATTAAAGTTTTAATCTGTGTTTTTTGAGAGGGGGATTTGGGGTTGTGTCTGAATTTTTGGTTTCCTCGATTATGGGAGATCTTTCGTGATTGTCTTGGTCGATCGAGATGTGGAGTGTTATTATTTTGTATAGTAATACGTGGGAATGGATGGTGACTGCGGAAGTCTGGAATACAGACTGCCGATGTTTCCTTGGGAGTATTGAGTCGAGTCGAGTCGAGTCGAGTCGATTCTGGATACGATCAGTTGAGCGTGTATGTCTAAGATACTATGACTTTAAAAGCTACAGTGGCACGCATAGTTCATTGCGAATGGAAAGCTACAGAACTAGTTCGACTGTCTATTAGTCCGGATCTTGGATTGTTTTGTAGGGCTTGAAAGAGGAGGCAGCTCTAGACGATATACTAGATCAAGTCTGAGAATCGGTTGCAGGATGTGAACATGTAGTGTTATCATCTACTTCCTAAATCCAAGGAGGGGGGGGGTCTTGTTCCGAATGTTCAGGAGATCACACATGGGATATGTCGTACCATACACATTATCCAATTATCGATTGGTCGTCTATGTTCTTTGAACTTTTGCCTTGTTTGAAAAAAGTACCCCTTCTCGCATTATTGGTGTGCTCTTATAGGTACAGGATCCTCGATAGATCAGTCTTGTGTTTTCTCGTTCTACAATATCTGCAGGATGAAAGCTACAACCTCCCAATAACCAGACAAAATAAAGGTCATCAATGTTGATGAGTCTCAAATTTGACCAGATTGCCTTTGGGCTAAAACTATGGCGTTTGTTTTGACCAAACCCGACTGTAGACAAATACTCAGATCGTATATAAACAATACTCTTCAATGTTTGATTTATTCGATGCCGAGTTACTACATCTGCGCAGAAGCATTGTCAAGTAATACAGAGTTAGATTTCCATCTTCCGGCTCTCTTGTCTACAGAAACACTTGCTCGAAAAGATGTCAATGTAAGGAACATCTTGTATATACTATTGGCGGAGAAAGCTTTTGGGAATTTTGAATAAATAATCCGGCGATGGAGAAGGATTGTGAGTTTGAGAGGATATCTCTTGAGCTGAGTGCGGAGTTGGTTGCGGAGGGGAGTATCAGATCGCTATTGGTAGACGTTCGTAGAGCTGAATTGGATGGTGTTGAAGAGCGGCGAGAGTGTACTTGTATTGGGATTCATGATGAAGGAACTGCTAGTGTAGAGTAAATGTTTCAACAGCTGATGCTGATGGAGAATAAGGCTCGTGCTAGGAATTAGTTGATAGGACTGCAACTTCAGGAACGCTTGAGCGTGAGTGGTGAATTAGAGATACAGAAGTCTTGGGGAAGCAAAGATAATGGTTTCGCAGCTGGTGAGATGGGAAATCGGACTTTCTAAAGTTCCAGATTGAATTTCGACGACGCAAGATGTTAGTTTGAACCTGTGAATATAATGTTGGAGGTAGCTTCGAAAGTGATGTGGATGGACACAACCTTCAACTCCACCAGAATAAATGATACTACTAATGGTACCATATTTCTTCTCATAGTTCAAATGGTGAACTTTTGCTTTGATCATGCTATTTGATGTAGATAATTGGACTTGGCGATTTATTTTCTCGTCCAGTTGAGATCTTTCATTTCATGCAAGGAATGGTCAATTGCTCGAGGAGTGTTGAATGTCGAATATTATTCTTCGGGCTTTCAGTATGTGGATACAACAATTAAGAAGAGGTCGTGGCAGACTTCATCTAAGTACTATAGTTGAATTGCTACTCTGTTTCAATTTTGTAAGGAGTAGTAGGTATATATGAAGTCATGCGAATAATTTACCTGAAAGCCCAGCACTTTTGCAGAGACATGTGAATGAATACTTGAACCACGAAGGCTTCATACATGTGCAATTATATTCGTCTATGAAGTCATCGTGCAAGTTCTCTGAAGGGTTCAGAGATTAATTCAAGGTTAATCCATAGTTATGAACAAAGCGTCAAGAATGAGAAGATGTGCGTTTTATTTCTATGTACAGTGGTTTCACTCCAATCTCTTCAAATTACAAAATTATACATTACTATCAAATCACACCCTCAGTCCTGCTCGAGTATCATCTCAAGAGCTAGCTTCGGCAAGGATTACATCCGCAGCCTTCTCACTGATCATGTAGATCGATAGTGCAATGTACATGCCCGGAATCTTTGGGAAGACACTGGCATCAACAACTCTCAATCCATCGACACCTCTGACCTTGAAGTTGGTATCCAAGACTGCCATTTCATCATCATCAGCTCCAATAGGACAAGAACACGATGCGTGATGTCCCCAGGCCTCATCAAGAGCAAATTGCTTAAGATCTTCCTCAGAAGTAATGCTCTCATCTGGCCAGATACGGGTAAAGGAGCCATCGAGCGGAATGAGGTTCTCGAATGCCTCGATTCCAAATTTCATTCCCTCGTATACAGCCTGGAGATCCTCATCGCCGCCAACACCGGTGTCGAAATAGTTGAACACGATCTCGGGGGTATCACGGGGATCGGCAGATCTCAAATTGACGGTTCCGGCATTGTTGCGCGAGTGCGCTTTGAGAGTCAACCAAGTCCAGATATTGCGCTTTGCGAGTGCGTGTACGGAGTAACCGGGGAAGTATCCGTTGAAGTAAGCGGGAACACCTCCGAGGTAGAGATCTTGGACTCCGTCTGCAACGGAGGAATGTTTAGGATATGCGAGAGCGATACCGTTGGTAGAGTATCCACCCTTGAGCAAAGGAAGAGTTTCCCATTGTTCGAGACAGGGATCAGTGCCATTGAGGAATGTACATTCTTTGAGTAAGGAGAAGTCGGATGTGGAGTTTCCGACAATACCAACTTCGTAGCGATCTTGCATGTTGGTACCGACACCGGGTAAATCAACAATAACTGGGATACCGAATTTCTCGAGCTCAGCCTTGGGACCAACACCGGATAATTTGAGAATTTGAGGGGTGTTGAATGTACCACCTGAGACGATAACTTCTTTGGTGGCGGTAACACTTCCGTAGGTGCCTTCGGAATCGTCTACGTTTTTGCTTCGGGGATCAGCGCGATAGAGAGATTTTCCAACAATGAATTCAACTCCAGTGGCTCTTGGTTTAGCGGCAGTAGTGTTGAATTGGACCTTGGTAACAAGAGTGTTGAGTTGCACGTCTAACTTGTATTTCTTGGATCCATCCGAGTTAGTAGCGTTTGCAACGCTCCAGACAAAGTCTCGAGGAGAAGAACGAGAGTATTCTGGGAACTTCATAGCGAGAGGAACCTGATACAAAGCATCGACGTGATCACGATTTGGAGAATCATTGTTGATATCCAGGGCGAGAACTTCAGCCAATCCAGTGACTGTGGTGATCAAGCTTCCAAGAAGACCCTTACCCATAGTTGTAGCTGCGGCAATAACGAGCGAAAGAACCTTTTGGTCTTGAACAATGAGTTCTGGGTTGGTAACCTCGGTCTGCAACCAGCCGTCAAAACCATGGCCTGTGACATCTGTGCTGAGGTAGTGACACGATTCAAGTTTTTTGTAGTATTCGCGCATCTTTGATGGTTCCCAGGAATCATCGCCGGTTATGTTTTGGATGTATTGCCAATCGGTTTCTTGGGGCAAGATGGTGATCAAAGCATTGTGCTCAGCGCATCCACCCAGTGTTCCTGTTCTTGGGTAAAGGATTCCCAAAGGAGTTGCGCCTAGAATGTTGATTAGCAAGGTCCAGAAAATTTCGACTTAAACTCGACAAGAGGAAACTGAATTACCTTCAGGTGGATCAAGACCAACATAGAAGTCTCCGTCAGCGGTCTGGTACGTCATCTTCGAGTCTCTTGCTTGTCTGGTCTCATTTGCGTAATGCTGAACAAAGAAATCCCATCGAATTGGATCGTACTCTGAAGCCAAAACATGCAATGCAGGAACTTGCATCTCAATATCATCTCCATGGTCCTCTCCAGCATCAATAAGCAAGACTGAATGACCTGCTAGAGCAAGTCTTGCGGCTACAGGAGCACCTCCCGGCCCACTTCCTACTACAACATACTCATAGGGATCAAGAGTAATGTTCGCGGAACTCGATGTGGCGTTCGCGGTACGTTGGTGAAGATGTTGATGTGTATGTTGAGACTTGCTGCAAACGTGTTAGTCAGCTGCGAGAGTATACTTATGGAGATTCCGGTACTTACAATGCAGAAGCCGTAAGACTGAAAAGAGCGACAAGGCCCAAAGATCTTTTGGGAAACATGGTACTTCCAGAAGATCAAATGAAACCAAAGAAAATAAAGACAATTGCCAAGGAATGAAGGAGTGACTGTGTGTGTGAGGAGAGATTGTCCACGATGCTGGATTGAACTTTATATATTGTCGAGGCCATCCACTGCACCACTTCTAATGGGACTGTATTCGCAATCTCTCACCCTTTACTCTTCATGATCGTTAATACAATCCCTGAAGGGATCGCAGCATAAAGGGAGGTGTGAAGATCATTACCAGGTGTTTGGCTGGTGGAATACACAGTGTATGCTCGCGATACCTTGATCCAACAGTCGTGATGTTCATGAGGAATTCCCAATACGATTTTGATAATGAAATTCAAAAGTGGAGAAAGACATAGGGATCAAGCATTCAATTTCCCAAACCGGTAGAGATCTAAAATTTGCACACGAGATGCTTGTCCTTCCCCTCCCAAAACGTTTCTAGAAGTACATTTTTCCTCGAATTTTAGTTGACACGCCCCGCAAAAGCTTGATTAGAGCTTGCATGGGACCCCAGACTCTTCAATTTTCGACGTCAATGATTAGAGTAATGATGTGCTAGTTCATCTTGGATGTAAACGCGAATTACAGCCGTAATTACTAAAAGTCCCTTTTTGGCAAAATGCCTGACAATCGTTGCAGATCTTCCTCTTTGACAGCTCAACGGTTGTCAAAGCTTCTTTATGGGGGTCGAGAATAAGTCTACGGAGTAAGCGAATTCTGCTAGCGCAGGGGGGGGGTTAGTGCCGGGATTTAATTGTGATGTCAGAGTTAGCGGTGTGGTGCACATTAGTACATTGATGAAAATAGATTGACAAATCAAAGATGAATATATGTAGAGCCTCAGCAATGGAAAGGCTCGCCTGCCAAGAAGGTTTGGCGAAGACTGTCTATTCAAAACGACGAAGAAAAATCCAGCCCAAAATGAAGAGATTTAAAATATTGAGGTACTGTTGACCAATCAGATCTCGTGCTGTGGGTTATAATTAGATATGTACATTGCGTTTGCGTCCTTCGGGGAGTCTCAGACCCAGTTCAAACGCTCGTGAATTAAAACGAAATTCGAAGGAAAATAATTCTGGAATGTTTATCTCATAATGCACGCCGGCGTTTCATAAATAAACTCCCCAACCTTCTTTAATAATAATAAAGCCATGAATGGAATGCCTTCAGACAGCGTTGCAATGAGAACTGGTCAAGAACTTTGTACTTGAAGCATCGACGTCATCAAGTGGAATGAAATCATTATTCTCGGTCTTCTTCGGCGCTGAAGCTTTAGAGCTCATGAATGATCTCTTGCCAGTCGTTCCGGCAGTTCTTTGAGTGCTCACTGCGGCAGTTGTCTGTAATTTTGGCATTATCATATTCAGTAGAGGTCGTAATGCTGGTAAGCACCCGCAGAATATGCCAACGTGCATTTCGAGAGTACTCCAATATCCCGCTGGACTGTAGTCCCCTAAAATATTATTCAGTAAAAACATTTCAGAAAATCAGCGCTAAACTTACAGGTTATGTTTGTTGTATTGGCAAATTCAATGAGCGCATGAAGTCGTATGATGCTTATTGCAGTAACGCTGTTTATAATTAGCAAACAAGAAGTACCAAATAATTGAAGAAAGTCTTACAATAGTCCTAGAGCTTAAGGGGCCTGTTAGCAAAATCCTATCGACTGAGAGGCAGATTCAAGCTTACAGAACATAAACATAATAGTTATTTTTTTCGTTGGAGACATGACCAGTTTGGACAGTTTGTTCAGTGGCAGGCCAATGACTATAATATCCAAAACAATATTGAGAATAGAACTTAGCCATCCTTGGAGATTGATATTGTTACAAGTTCCAGTGTGCAAGCCATCCCATTGATTCCATCCATAGCTAATCGGCCAGCATTGAAAGATTGTTGCTATCACAAAGCTAATACCATAGGCAACAGAAAGTCCGAGTGTGCCCCAAACATAATAGATGAAGGGCTTCTCGCGAAAAACTCGAAGGAAAAGAAGGCAGAATGTAACTTTGGTCATGGCCATTGCAGCAAGATAAAAACATTCGCCCAGAAGATAGTACTGATTCACGTTAGCTCCTAGCCAATGACTTCTAAATCAGGTGTACAAACAAACAAAACATTTGTGATTTCATCAGCTGTCAGAGTCCACATATCTTTTCCGAGGCCATTGTTGGCCACTATGATTTGCATTAGTATGATAACTTAAGCCCGTGAATGGTACTCACAGATGACAGAGAAAACAGTCGGAGGGGTTGCCAAAGCCTAGATTACATTAGCTGAGCTCGTACCTTTCTAGATTGAAAGCTGTAGACTAACCACAACAACACACATTGACCAGTCATCCATACCCCATTGCCTTACTTTCAAAGCGGTGGCCAGCAACCGTCCAAAGAAGGCTAGCAAGGCAACACAACCTCCAATAACGCCAATATACTCGCCATCTTTTCTCCTATCTCGCACCGGTGCGCTACACATGGTCTGGGTAACATTTTTGGTAGCTTTGAAAGGTTAGACAGCCCGGTGAGGGGGATTTCTTCACTATTCTAACGAATCTAACTTACTGAGAAGTTCAAAAATAGTGCAGCTTTGCATCGCGCAGAGTGTAATGCTCTCTTGTAATTCAGCGTTTGTGCAAAGACATATGATATCTGTCGCATCACATCCAGACGTTGGAATAGCTTGTGCCATACATTTTAGCTAGAGAGGTCGTCAGAAGAGCCAGCAAGAACAAGATACTCAATGAAACTTACCGAGCAAGTCGGGTATGATGCTTGGGCGGCCGCTAAAAGAGAGGCGGACGAATCCCTGGGGATTAACGAGGACTGTGCTGTACAAACCATGGTCAAACTGGCCACGACAGCCATAATATTGAGGGACAACTTCATGATGACTCCTTAGTACCTTTGGTCGCGTAAATATCAACGATAGTATTAACGACAGTAAAGTACGAAATGAAAGGAAGGAATTCAAAAAGCCAAAAAAACTACAACGAACGCTATCGTAAACTTGGGAGAATCTGATCATGTATAAGTGCATGTATTATAACCCTGCGAATATTAAACATTATGCCATGCTCCAACAACCTTGAAGCTGGAATTTGCAAGCAAAGTGGGACGAATGCTGATGTCAAAGTTTGTCGTTGATCTGCCCCATAATTTGTTCTGCTTCTAGTCAATGGTCGTGGCCGTCATGTCCCTTACCTGTTGGAATCCCCGACATGGTAAGTCAGTGAGTGGGTTTTGGATAACTGTATCCGTGGTCTCGTGTCGACCCCTTGAGGGGATTCTATCCATGTTTCTTGGCAAGATGCTGTCTTGGGAATTTTACCAATCGAGCAAGTACAGTGCTCATCCAACCAACGAAAAGTAGGAATTAACCCAACAGTGGTGCGGCATATTTCGAGAAGCTTGAACCATCCTACTCCCACCCTACTTCATAGATGATTGCCTATCACAATCGGGGACGTCGAATTGCGACAGAATACTACGAAACATTCGAGCTATCGAAACGTTCTAATGGGGCCGTACTTCATGTGTATCGATAAATTCTCCGAAATTCAAATAGAGGAACTGAAAACGTTTGGGAAAACGGTTCTTTCTTTCTATCGTACCATGATCTACCAATATAGACTTTAGACTTTCGGTCAAACTTAGGTGTATGCTTCCAATTGGCATCGACATGGTTGGGCTGCTTTGACCGTTAGATTTTCATCTATTCCATACGATCTTGGACTGAACTCGGCTCTTGAGAGAATGGGTGTGAAGAGTTTTCCCGGGGTTTGTGCCATGCTCATTGCTCAGCCATGTTTGTGGAAGCACAAGCCTTAAAGAGGTTGATGCTAGACAAGGAAGGTATCGTCCAATTGTTTACTAAAGTTGCGTAGGGGGTGAGTAGGAGGTCGGGAGTCAGATAAACTTTTCCACGGCTGTCAGCTGCCGTACGTTAGTTGTTGAGACCGAAGTATATCAGAATTTTACCAAACATTTGAGGTGAAGAATTCAAGAAAAGGAGTAATATGGAATCTGGTTCATTGGTGCTTCAAAAGTAAACAAAGTGTAGTTATGATTATTGGGATGTGGCTTTATCGGCGCTCGGTCATAGTCACATGGTTCTACTGGCTATCTTGGGCATATTTTACTATAGCTACACCCAATATTGTAAACCTACCTAGTAAGTAATGTTACATCCAACGAGTGTACCATATTTCTTAATCTTTTCCTGTTTTTCGAGTATACGTACCCAAGTAATGAATATCCTCGACTCCCAAGACTGAAGCAGTTGAAGACACTGGGGTATACTGCTCCTAACTTCCCTATCTGCAAGATCAATCTTATAAGATTTACTCCCTGACCGAAAGATTACCTACTAGAGTAACCTAGGCCCTATGCTTGTTGACCTAATGCTTGTCAATGAAGGCACTGCCGATCACTTCAAAGTCTGTTGTCGATCCATATACCGCTCATGTGTCCCATTCAAGCCGTGAGGAGTATTTGAGCAATTTGGATTCCCACTCTTGCTCGACTACAACTTCCAAGTAGAAGATAATGGATATCCGCGTACACATACCCTTGTTTCCCCGTTTTGTCCTCCGGGTTAGGCTAGCTATTCGAAGCTTTGAACAATATCACTAGCCAGTGGAAAATATCCTATTTCATGATATGTCATGAGTTTCTCATCTAACATTCAATTGTGAAAGATTTGTTACATTTCATCGTGTCAATCGTCCCACTTCACAGTCACTCCTTTAACATTCCAAGATGAAGTTTTCGTCGTCCATTCTTTACTTCCCACTTTTGTGTACGAATGCCCTGGCATTTCCAACTCTAAATACATCGCCGAAATCTTTTGAGAGGGCTACAGGAAATAGCTGGTACGAGGATCTGAAGAGACGAGTTGAGAATCACCCGGAAGTCAAAAAAAGATTGTTGGTTGATTCTTTGACTACTCCCATCGATGGTAAAACAGCAGACCTGGATTTTGACTTCGAATATCACTAACAGTAAGAAAGTCACCGGAGACCATGTATTTGTTTCACCTAACTTCGACAATGGGGACCAGCGAGGTCCATGTCCAGGATTGAATATGCTCGCAAACCATAACTACATTCCTCATAATGGTGTCGCTTCAATGGTAGAAATTATTGCTGGTGTAAATTCCGTATTCGGGATGGGAATCGAGCTCATCACTGTCCTGGCTATAATGGGAACGGTCGGTGTCGGCGACCCTATCTCACTAAACCCCGGGTTTTCGATTGGAGGCTACACTCCGAAAGTCTCTAACATTCTCGGCAATCTTGATGGTCTTTTGGGAACACCTCGTGGTCTTGACAACGCCCACAATTGGATTGAAGCAGATTCCTCGAATACCCGAGACGACTTGTATGTGACAGGAGACGCATCGACAATGAACATGACTCTATTTTCACAAATCGCCAATGGATCCGATTCTGAAGTCATCACAATGGAAGATATTGGAAAACGCGCCGCCGAACGTCTCGAAGTCAGCATAGCTACCAACCCTTATTTTTACTACGGACCCTACACCGGCATGATTGCACGAAATGCTGGATATGCATTCTCTGGTCGCCTTTTGAGTAATCACACCACTGAGAATCCAGACGGAATTATGACTCAAGGATTAATGCGCACTATGTTTGGCGTCTACTCCGTGAATGGAACATATGTATACAAGAAAGGCTGTGAGCAAATACCCTCCAATTGGTACCGCATTCCTGTCGACTACGGATTAGTACAACTCAACCTGGATATTGTTGCTTGGATGGTAGCAAACCCAACACTAGCAAGTGTCGGAGGCAATACCGGTAAAGTAAATACCTTCACTGGTCTTGATATCAGTAATGTCACCGGTGGCGTTCTCAATGTCGAGACCCTTTTGGAGGGCAATAATTTGATGTGCTTTGCCCTTGAAGTTGTCAAGACATTCGGGCCCAATTCTCTTTCGCCTTTGTTTGCTACAATTGCCGTACCCTTGCAATTATTGACCGATGCTCTTGATACATCAATCTTGGATCTTGTTGGGTGCCCAGTCTTTGCCGATTTAAGTAAGGATGGAAAATCATTGTTTGAAGGACTTCAGGATACTTATCCAGGCGCTGCGAAAAGTGGTGTCGCGTTTTAGGGGGTAGAAAGCTGAAATTTGGGGTTTGGTGCTTGGCCATCATTGTTATAATTATAATTTTAATAATTGCAGCATTGCACAATTGTTTTATTTTTCTAGAAATGCAGTGCAATCTATCTTCGTCCTTGGAGCTATAGAATTTTTTCGATGTTCTAAAACAAGGCCTTACAATTTGCTTAGTGTAGGACGATTGTATCCCATCTTGTGCAGCCCATGATGTTGTTGCAATGTCAGGGCTCAATCTTCCATCTCGGTTGCGGAACCGCAGTTATGGCAGATACAAACAAAGCAAGTAAATTATATCAACAGAATCGTATTCTTCCCTTATCTTTGGTCCCTAGAAATTCTCTTAAACTCTAATCATTCCGAGATCCAAAATTGATCATAGGATCCAGAAGGACTCATTTTCTAATAGATTTGCAAGACAAATCCCATCAATATAACATTCTCTGCGGGTTCGACCCTGCAATCATTGCACGTGATAAGCAAATTATACAAACTTGCCAAACTCTGGTGCGAGGGCTTGGGACCAGATAAGGAGCGGCCCGCTCGAAGAAATTAGCTTGGGACTCGTAAACGGTCTATGTACTGCCATCCTCTAAACGCACTTTACTGGCCTTAATGGTGCGCACTTTAGTCACGTGTCCATGCGCATGCTACCCCTTACCCACAAGTTCTTTAGTCGAGAAATATGTCGAATGGCGTATAGTTGTATACCGGCAGATGATTTGTTTATTAAGCTATTAGGAAAAGCATTTTGCATTCTCTCAAGTACGTACTAGTTCTTCAACTCTAACACTTGATTAAATAGGCGCCCACAAGTATAAACGCGACATGTTAGAACCACTCGTCTAATCCTGACGCTGAATCGCATGGCGGCGATGAATGCGGTCGCAGCGATGCGTACTTTTAAGAGAGTGGCGCTGAAGCATACTTTAGAGGGGAACTTTAAATGAACATTTTCACCCCTCAGTACAATGAGAAATGGGCCCTGAATTTCGGACCTTTTCATACATATCTCAGAAGGATCCGAATCCATCCACTGCTGCGAAGGACATAGCCGAGACCCTACGAACGACATGTACGCGCCGACGAGGTAATGCTATGTTCAGAGACATGTTTATCCGGATTAATTACACTGTGAGGCTGGGGTTGGATAAGCCGTGGAATTATGTCGGCCTTCACTTTGCTCGCGATCAGTATGGGACGAAAAGAACATATATAGTAGGAGAAGTACTTTGAATATTGCTTCATCATCAGCTCAACTTTCAATATCTTTTAATAAACCAAAAACTATTTCAAAACTCAACTTCAAGCTCTATCTCCTCCATCTGCAAGCCTCATATCAAAACTTACAACTACAATAGTACCATATCTTCGAAACACCATCTAACACCCCAACCATCTCCATCTTATTCTCCGGGTTCTTCTCCGGCCTCGCCATTGCAGATAGTCCCATCTGTAGCAGTATCTGCGCTCACAACAACGACCCCGGTCTCTGGAATGACGACCATACTTCTTCCGCTCAAGTAGACTACATCATCGCTAACCGCGGTGAATACGTAACAGGTAGTGTACAAGGCCACATGTGCGTTGCGATTATTGGATCTGAATATACTATTATCGTGGCAGACTGTCTCGAGCAAATGGCTGCCCAGTGGCAGAGTTATACGGATAATTGGTACTTGTGGAGCTCAATTACTTGTGTTACCGAGACCGCGACGGGAATTATCTCTATCACGGCTTAATTGGATAGGTAGGAAAATATAGTGCAGGTATCTCGGGGTTGCTTGGATGAACATGTGGTTTGACTGTGGTTGGGGAAGAAGATTGGTATTTTCATTTCTTTTGGTGGGTTATATGTTTGGGTGGAACCTTTGAATAGAGAACGCAGGGCACATACTTGTACAAATTGTTGTGTATGAGATCACAGACTAGGAGGATAGAACGAAAAGGAGGACTTGGGAGTTTAAGGATTCTCATAGAAAAATAAAACATCATGTTTGAAAACCTTTGACGTGTTAGCAGCAAATGACAGATGTTTTAAGTACGCTGGGTCCAAAAGTAGCTTCGACACTGCATATGGCTCGTCTACAAGACTCGGAAACTCTCACTACATTCAAATCAAGACTTGTCCGGTACTAAAAAAATTGAGTTTATAATTCCATCCATTTGATTCCATAGCAGCTTTCCATCCTTTCCATTCCATTCATAGACCTTCTTCTGCCCTCATAGTATATGTATTGTTGGAGATATCCATGTTTCTTTCATGAAAAGTGGTGTGGATGACGCTGCAGCATATATCGGAGGTAGGATGTCCAGGATGGAAGAATATAAGACGAATAGAACTAGATATTCTGAGGTCTTTATACCCACAGATATTGCTCTTCATTTCTAGCAATTTCGAGAATCCGGAGTCTTTGAGGTGAGTATTGCTGTTGATGTATGTCTCTACATTCCTTTTTCAAGAACGATTACGATGCTTCAAGTTGCAAGTTGTAATATTTATAACCTGAGATGGCCATGTGTGTGTCCCATCTACTCGGCGCAGACAAGACCTGTTGACTAAAGCTCTGTATGGACGAGTAGAGCAACATACCGAATCGCTCAAATAAAGTCATACTTGGGAGCATTTATATTTACATACTTTATTTGATATTGATTTGTATTCAAGTATGTAATACGTGATATAGGATATATCTATGTATGTATATTTGAAACATTGTAGTTTTGTATGTCCCGGGGTTTAGTTCTGTGGTCCCCAAGCTGGCAGTATCTTCTGCCTCTTTGGTCGAATCTCAATCTAATGAGAGATCTCCTTCTTCAAAAACACAGCATTCCAATACCAGGATTTTCCTGTTGAATCAACCATTGGGCCGAAGAGGTTTTCCACATGTTTGTAAACTTTGTAACCTCTTCTTTCATACCAATCTTGGTTGGAAAACTAGGTGAAGGTTAGAACAATGCAAATATCTCATCTCCGCAATTTATTCAGACAAATTTACCGGAGGAATGACCAGGCCAAGAGCTTTATATTTTTCTTCTCTTTCTGGGTCGACCTTATTAATCGCATTCAAACCCAAAGTCTTGGCGCACAATGGTTCAGAAATGGCTATATTCTCGATTGTATCCATGGCCGTCTTTCCTAGTCCAGTTCCTTGAAGAGCTCGCGAGACGTAAAAAATGGATATCCAGTAGAACCCTTCTGTTTTGGGAACATATCCGAGATTCAAATAATTCTCGGATGGAGGACCTAAGCAGATGTGCCCAATTGGAATGAAAGTTCTCTGCGGTGAGGGGATATCCCGAAGTTTACCTCCAAAGGAAGTGGCAGAGTCAAGTAGAGGCTCTTTCTCTTGGGGATACATCTCAGAATGTTTGAGTAGTTTGGCATCCTTTTCGGGATCAGAATCCGCAAGCACCTGGATAGATAATTTAGAATTCCGAAAATGAAATCGATCTGGGGAAGAATAGTTACAATCCATTGATTATTGAGCTTTCCGCTTTCTTGAGCTTTCCTCCATGATTCAACGCAATCAGAATCCCATCCGCAAGCGATGCGTTGTTGTACTAGTCGCTCAACATGTTTAGGAGAGGTGGGATCCCAAGGGATTAGCACAATTTGAGGCTTTGGGGAGTTGGTGGGGTTGATTAAAGCCATTTTGAATATCTAAATATTGCAGAATTGAAAGGGTCGATAAAAGTATTCATATTTATAAGATTCCGTGAAGTCAACTGTTAGACTACGTTCTGATATCCGAGGATGACGGATAGGCCAGGCCAGGGGATCGAAGGACGCCTTTTGAATAGAATATGATGACAAGTATTCTCCAACCAAGGGTTGAAGGGCGCGAGAAGACATGAGGGTTTTGTTACAGGATTTTTCCATCTAGAGAGAAGTCTTTAGCTTGCTGCCGTCGCATCGAGAGATTCGAGACCTTAGTCTTTTGTTCAATTTCTATGGATATTTTGGACATTCACATCAGTACCTAGCTAGCTCTACATAGGAGATATAAGAGACCAAAATTGATCACCCCAATATATTCTCTGATAAATCAATTAATAGTAAAAGCATAAAAGTATAGAAGTCAATAACATTAAACAAATTCTTGAATAATCTTCAATCATAAAACTATTTAAACATTTAAATTCTCTAAATTCACTCGCCGCTATACAGCTATTCCTCCGACATCGAAAGCGGCACCATAATTTGTGCTCCGAGATTCCCCACTCACATTAGCGTATGCTATTAAATATATAGTTTTGAACAAGTAGCTTCACTCACCAAGAACAGCCAACTTGGTTTGAAAGTGACATGGCCTGATAGTTCAGTGGTAGAATTCTTGCTTTGGGTTATCCAATCTAAATTGTAAGAGGTCTCCGGTTCGATCCCGGATTAGGCCCTTTCTTTTGAATGTTTTTTTTTTGGCTGGGGAGTGTTGTAGATTTTGACGAGTGAAATTATGGGTGCTTTTTTTGTTCGTTCTTTGTGAGGCGCCTGGAAAAGAAGGATCTGAATTCATCTCATAGAAATTGTAATCTGTCTATTTTTATCTACGCATTATTTATACAGGTCTATTTATATATATATAATCTTGCTCAACTGCTTAGCAAAATTGAACAGCACAATATCACGTTTTGGAGTCGAGATCATTTGAGGGCCAATAACTGATTGATCAACATTAATAAGAACCGCTCAGAAAGAGGAAAATTGTTATTTCAATTCGATTGTGAAGGGGAAAATGAAGCAATTCGCTTATCCAACAGAAATGAAGGGTTTTTTTCTACATACTCAACCTTAGATTATTGATTGAATTCTGAAATCTCACTACAATTTATAAAAACATGATATTAACAGTTGGAAATTAGTCTTATCTGAGTGCTTGAATATCCAAAATAACATTATAAGATTACTGAAACAAAGCCAAGTGAAGTCTTGAATGGCTTAGATACTTAGTGAGGTGAGAAACTAGATATAAGAAGAAAAGCTTCTATAATAATATGAACGAATTTCCATTGCAGATTTCAGCTAAATGTTATCAAACTACTTTCCACTGGATAGATTTACCAAGTCTGACCCGGCATACTAGAGCTGCTCGCCGATTTCTACAGGCTAAGGGTGTGTTCTGATATGAGAAGGGGTAGTTGGGCGAGGGAGAGTATGTATGACTAGGGTGCCTTGGGAAAGATCACGAGAATCGAGGTTCGATGGAAGAGCAAGCCATTGAGATGTCGTGGAGGACTAGAATCTTCAGACGCTCACGTTCTTCAGTAAATTGGTTTCAAATTCTATGAGCTGGTTAGTGTGACTCGAGAGATAGAGGGAGGAAGGGGAAACTACCGTTGACGGGGTTGTTTATTAGCGATACCGAAAAATTCACGGGACTCAGAATTGTGGTTGAAGAAGAAGGATTGGACTTCGTACTAAGTGCAAGCTTTTCATATTCGAAAGCAGTTCAATAGTTAGGATGATTTCTTTTTTTTATACTATTCGAAGTTTCTCACCGAGCTTGGGACTCGAAGGCTTCTGGCTGTCGAAGCAAAGTTTGTATTACACGAAACTCTGCCGAGTTCCTCCCAATACCCTCCAAAAGTGCAACATTTCCATTAGAGTCATTCATTCCAAGTTCATGCAACCAAGGTCAAGATTGTAGCTTGTATTTTTAACAGTACTTAGCAGTGAAGAAAGAGCCTTTGTTTTGCAAACTTGTACCATCAAAAGAGGGGGAATGATTTGACTTTAATGCAGATAGAGATGTGAGATTAAAGCAAAAGGGTAGAGCCATTGGGGAGCATCATAAACTAGATATAATAATTCTATGCTAATGCAACGAAGCTTCAAAGCATACAATATTAGTATAGATCATTCGTAGTTTCATTTCACGACAATACAACACTCGATATATCTTTCACCCTTTGAAAAACAAAAGGACTACCAGTATCTTGAAGAGGTAATGACAGACTATTGTCAGGGGTGCTTCAAGATGGAGACACAAATGGAAAATCATTCTAGAAATCCGACCGAAATTCTTCGCGCGAGGGAGTTCGGGTGTACATTGGAGTCCGATGAGGAGCTTCGTGAATTTTCATCGTCATAGCCAATTGAGACTACCAGTCTTTGTTGTCTCCTCGATTGATGCACAAGCCGTCTTCCCAGAATCTGGATACCATGGTACCTGGTAGGATGGCAAATATGGTGAAGTGTATCGCAAAGATTTGCTGGGACTGAAAATGAATGATCATCGACTCGGGCTGAAGTCCGATATATTCCATAATCAAGATAGCGCGATGAGTGGATTTGCCTTGTCCAAGTAACAATCAATTGATATGGTATGGATGAGACTGCATTGTAACTCAACCGTTGCTCCGGGCTCAAGAACAAGAAGTCGAATTCCATCAGGCTCAAGCAGTAGCTTGTATGGAGAAGTCCATATCCCTTCTGATGGGATATCGTCTATTGCTCCATGCCTGGTGGATCAAGCAATGGCCAGAAGTAAGCTGTCAGTCATCGAAAGTATGATCAAATAAAGATAATTCGATTGGCCGACCATTTGCGTTCCCTTGCTTTTTCTGCGGCGCCTTAACCAGTCTTTGATAGATAGCTGCCATGTTGATGTGTGCTTTCATCAAGTTTTAACATTGAGTTCCTTAAATATCAATAACCATGGTAAATGTAGCTCCATTACATATACTCTTGGCCCAAAAATCAAGGCTTCAAAGTTGGTTCTTTGTTTTCTTGAATCCATAAATTGATGGCGGCGTCAACGGCGTAGAACGTTTATTCCCCGTCTTCGCTTCCAGAGCTTTCTTTCTTTCTTTACTCATCCCTCTTTTCTCCGGACCCAAACTCCGGAACGTCATAACCACCATCACCACCTAAATAACTTCGCCATCCATAAATAACAAAACCTGAATACAATCTTTGCATTCTACAACCATTTATCATCCATAACAATCGACCTTGATCAAATTATATCACAATTATGGCCTTCACCATGCGCCAACCATTCAAATTAACTAGTTCGCTGGCTATAGCTTCCAAAACCACCTTTAGATCCGCCCCCGCGCGAGCTTTTCATTCCAGCAAACCTACAACCAGTTTTTTCACATCACGCACCACATCGCCAGTCAGCACACTGGTAAAAGCTAGAAATGCGATTAAGGGCTCGAGAACTTATCTGCAGCAACCGGCGACTGTTGCGAATCCAAATGGAACGCTGATGCAGAAATTGTTGGTCGGTGGTGCGATGTTTGGAGGAACTTTGTTTGCGATCAATATGGTATGATACCTTCTTCCCTACCCCTTTTCCACATTCGCCATCTCCTTCATCTTCGTAGAGTAAACAATCCTAACAACAACAGGTCTTCAACCGCGAAACTCGTGAAGATGGCGGCATGCCCGAATACGAACGCAGTTACCTCAACGATACCTTTATGCACACTGGAATGGGAATTGGAATCATCGGATTATCTGCGCGCGCCATGTTCCAAAGTGGCTTTACTTACAGATTGATGGCGACCAATCCTTGGGTTGTCATGATCGGTGGTATCGCACTCAGTATTGGTACTATGATGGGCACTAGAGCTACAGACCCTAGCAAGTGAGTGTTACCCCTCACTCGGTATTCATATTCGGAATTATACGATGTATACTTGGGTGGATACAGAATACTAATATGTAATAGCTATGTTCAAAAATACGCACTCTGGACCGGCTTCAACGTAACCCAAGCTGCATTCATCGCACCCCTCCTCTTCATGGCTCCTCCTGCCATCATTGCCCGCGCTGGTCTCTACACCGTCGCTATGATGGGTAGTATTTCCTTCGTCGGCGCAACCGCCAAGCAAGAAAAATATCTGTACCTCGGTGGACCTCTCTTGGCTGGTGTCGCTCTCGTCGCTGTTTCCGGACTGGCTCCCTTGGTTCTCCCAGCTACCGCAGTCAGAACATTGGCTTTTACCGAAAACATCTGGTTGTGGGGAGGTTTGGCGGTCTTTGGTGGTTTCACACTCTATGATGTACAGAAGATTTTGGCACATGCTAGAATGGCCGAGAGAGGAATGATGAGGAGAGATGCGGTTAATGAGAGTATTTCATTGGAACTGGATTTCCTGAATATCTTCATTAGGATGGTACAGATTTTGATGATGCAGCAAAACAGGAGGAAGTAGAGAAGGAGTTGTACAATATGAGAGGTTGGAGCAAGGGAGTTGGAATGAAGGAATAACACCGTGGGATTACATGGTAAAGGAGACGGGTGTTGTCATACAAAACAGCTCTCCTCTCCGAGATTGGATGATAGTTACGAAAGTCTGCGGATTTTTCTGCCATACACGCTTCTCCTCTCTTTTGGACATGCGCACTTGATGCGTGTGCCATTAAAATATATTAATAAGACAAAACAAATGTTAAAATGGTAAAATAGTAAAATATCCATATCCAGTTAATTATTTGTTCTCATTATATCTTTGACGAAATGAAGTGGTATGTCAGATTAATAAAGTGATTCGAAGAGATCGTTGTGTGTACTTTTACTTTTACTACATAGATTCAACGCTTTCAACTGACTACATCACATCAAAGTAACCCCATACCCAGCCAGCCAGCTAGTCATATACCATACATACATACCTACCTACCTAGGTACGAGGTACGAGGTGTCTAATAAACAATGCAAGACTATATAGGTAGATGAAGATGGGAAAATTCTATACATACATACATCCCCATCTAGGTATCCATGCTCGCATCTATTCATCTCCTTATATGCGTCTATCATCTTATCTCATATCATATCATACCATATCATATCACATCAATTCATCTCTCACCCAATTTCAAAATCAAATCATATATCATTTCATCTCATTTCATCTCATTTCATCTCATTTCATCTCATTTCATCTCATTTCATCTCATTCCATTTCATCCAATACTACAAAACTAGATCCGATCCGATCACATCAGATACAAATCCCCTCTCCCCTCTCCCCCTCCCCCTTTTCATCCGAGCCAAGCCATACCAGCAGCCCATCTCTCCCCTACCATCCAACTCCTATTTCCATAACCTACGGTTTCCGTTTCCGTTTCCGCAGAGTTATACATGCATCCATACACCCATCCATCCATGCACCCATCCATCCATACATACAAGAAACACAAAACACAAAAAAGTAAACCCAAAAAAAAATCTAAAAACCGCGCCAATCCGTTCATTCATCGATACATACATACATACAAATATGCGAACAAACCAATAAACCAACATACATACATACACCACCCTCGTCAAAAAAAAGAGCGCGTTCGTTCCGACCAAAAAAATGACCTCTGGATTTGTCCTAACAAGCGATTCATGTGGATAAACTGAACAAAACTCCGTCCATGCATGCAAATATGTCATATTCTCGAGAGTATGCATATAAAAGTCGACATTGATGAAAAATCCCACTCTTTCCTTTTCTCCATGTTCTGTTAAACCCTTTCTCGTCAAGATCCATCATCGTAAGCCAACGCCTGGTCCACTCCTCTTCTCAATCCAAAATACCAAATCTCCCCTTCCCTTCCGTACACTTAGATTTCTAGGCATCACCGCCCCCCTCAAGCCTCTCCTCCCTACAGTCTCCCTCCTCCCACTTTGACTCCATCTCGACTTCCATCTTTCGATTCCTCCAGCATCCAGCCACCCCTTTAGGTTTTTACACTGACTAACGTCAAAGATCTCCAACTTACTACAACCTTCTACCACAGCTTCCACCCCTACCCCCGTAACTCTCACACACCCTCTTACAGAAAGTTCCTTGAGTTCGAGAAGATGGAGACCGATAGATCGAAGCGATGAGTCTGAGACTGCCGAGCCGCAAAATGAGAGTTTGAGGGATTGGAGTTGGGGACAACCGAGACTTAGAACTTCGGTTGCGGTGTCCGAGAGGGCGCAACAGAATGACTAGATATGATTATTAGTGAAAATATTTTAGGGAGTCGCGAAAGCTCAACATACCAAATCTAGCTCCTTCAACCCCTTTGCCGCATTTGTCAAATAAACAATAGCATTATCCGTCAAATAAGTACAATCCGCCAAAATTAACTTTTCCAATTTTGCAAATTTATAAATGCTCCAATGTTGAAATCCACTATCTGTAATTGTTGTACATCTCGTCAGATCAATACTCTGTAACCTCTGGTGTGCATGAACAGCCAGATGCGCCATCGATCGATCTGTAACATGTTTACAATACGATAAAGTGAGACGTTTGAGCTTTGGACATCCGACTACAGTCCCAACCGGTGGGACGAAAGCTGCAGCTTTTTGACGAAGAGAGGCTTGAGGAGCAATTGGCTCGGTTACAACCCAACCGACGATACGGGCCAGGAGGTTATCGGATACTTTGCGGCAATTAGAAAGGTCTATTTCTTCGAGCTCTTTAGCGCTGTTGGCCATTTCCAAGACGGCGTTGGCAGTTACGTCCCAGGCTGACTTCATTTTCCAGACTTGGATATTGGGGCCACATTGGGTGTAAATTGCAGCAAATCCCTCGTCAGTTATATGAAAACAGTTGCTGATGTTGATGCTACGGGCACGACGGCCAACAAATGGACAGATACATTCGATCAGTGCTTTGTTGGTCATTTTGCGGTTGTAGAGTGATAGATCAAGATTTTGACAAACGTTTGGTGAGGTACTTAGGAGAGTTGACCAATGGAGAGATACGAGGCGTAATCTCATCAATTGATAGATGTCTAAATATGAGAAAATGTGGATCAAAATTGCATCCGGTAATATTCCCTGACTAAACTGACTTGGACGTCGCTCGAAAATCTTGGGTCGTTTTGGTCGAAAAGCTGATTCTGGGGGAGTAATTGCATGTGATAGTTTTGCAGGTGTGGGTGTTTGAGATCTAGATCTGGTTCTTGGGCCAGAAGATCTATCATCTGGTGGCGGCGTCTCAGGAGCAGGCGGTGCCCAAGAACCTCTTCGCGATCTCGCCCTCATATTGTCCATATCTACACTGAGGAATGGATCTGGGTCTATAGGTTCCATCACCCCACTATCCTCAACACGAATAGGTTTATGAGGACTTGCAGGTTTAGAAGGGGTGAATGTAACTTGTGGCAATGTTTTCCTTCTTTGGTGTTTAGGTCGACTGTTGTTGATGGTTAAATCATTGATAGTTGGAGATTCGGCATCACTCATTATGATATCTTCGTCTTCGGGTTTTCCAATTCGAGTTTTCGCTGTCAGCTCTACTTGTTTCCGTATATCTGGCGAACATCTTCTCCATAACTCTTCAAGAACTTCTCCACCGATCATCAAACATTCCACAGAAGTGATTGATCGTACAGTAGCTGTTCTCCGGGGAGCTAAAGACAAACTGACAACTTCTCCAAAGTATTGTCCGGCTTTCAGTCTTGGCCGGATGTATGATCCATTTGTACCTTGAGGCGATAGTCCAGCGTGTCCATTGGAACTTTCATGTATAACTTCCGCCTCACCTCTAACAATAAAGTAGATTTCATTGCCACTTGAACCTTGTACAATAATATCCGTGAACGGTGGGTATGCCTTCGGCGTGGCGCTCAACCCAAGAAAGTGAAGTATTTCTGGCGGTAAAGTTGAAAATAGAGGTAACTCCTTGAGTGTTTTCCTGACATTGACCAGTCCACTGCCCAGCGCACTGCCAGCTGAAGGATCCTCAATTATACCTGGACTTGGGGATTTTCGCTTCTTCTTGTTGATGACCACTCCCTTCTCAATGACACCTACTTCACCAGTAGAAACTTCTCCTGGCGCAGCTTCTCGTGCGATCTTGCCACCTCTAGAAACCAGCTCCGTGGAGACGAGTTTTGGGCCAAATCCGCCCTCCCTTCTTTTCTTGTTCAAAATTGTCAATCGTTCCTGTGCCTCTTCCATAATCGCTTGTTCCATTTCAGGAAAGTTTGGAAGCTCAGCTCTCAAATCTTCCTTCTTCAACACCACCAACAAGCATTTTGTTCTAGCTATAATTGTAGCGGTCCGGGGTACATCCATTAATATTCCAATCTCGCCAAAGAAAGCACCAGGCTTTAATTCTGCGTATGTAGCTTCTCCGTCTCGAGATGTGACCGCCACAGCCCCACGTACTAACCAGTACATGGCTTTTGCATCGTCTCCCTCAGTCAATACATGATCGTGAGGCGAATGAACCTGAGGACGAAGATGTTTCCCGATAGCTGCAAGAAAGGAATCGGGAGCTGAAACAAAAAGAGGAAAGGAGCGTATGCGATCAACAAGGTCGAGTGGCATATCTGGAATTGTCGAAGCTGTGAGGGGAGAAGGTCGTACAGGTCGAGCGGGATTGGTTTCGATGTTGAATGATCGGATCAAGGATAACGAGTCTGGAATAGCTGCGCCATTGGCCCTGAAGGAGCCAGCACCCCGTCGACTCCTACTCATGATGTTGTGTGTGTATTTAGCAAGCTACGATCTCGCAGAAGCTCATGTGGGTACCTTGCGGCCTAGTGGCCGTCCTGCATGTAGGTTTGCCAAAGTGGGCAATATCAAGATCGGGGATGATTGATTACTTGGGAGAAGTTATCGTTGAGCAATTCGCAGGCTCACTGGGTTCGAATACCACACTCAACGAGGGTTGGGGAAATCGTGGATTGTGGATCAGGTTGTATATGTTCTCGTGGAGGAATTGCGATATGTACAAGAGCTTTAATTCAAATTGAAAAATTTCTTTGTCTGCAGATAGTATAACGCGTAGAAGTCTCGTCGGACAAGTCTGTGATGTATTTGGTCAGCTATTATATACATCGTTAACGGCATTGGCTACCCATATGAAAGATATCCCAAAAGCTGGGCGGGCGGACGGCACAAGATGTTAGAATAGATGGCTTACTATTGCTTTCCTAGGATCATATAACTGGAGGGGTAAGAAAGTTACCTTTCTAAGAATCTTTCTTCAATGAAGCTGACAACGCACGAACAAGATGAGAGAGTAGAACATGAGGTAAGAAATAGAAACAATCTACAATCACGGTGAAGGAAAGACAAGATCAATAGGACTTTGAACGAAAGTATAATGCACGGAGCGCTCTATGATCGACGAGCTTCGAAATGGAAATGGAGCATGTATTTGGTTTGGCTCCTAGCACTCAAAGACCCTTTAATCACCAATAATTGAGGGGGGAATTTGATTCGACTGAAGGAATTATAAGTTGGGGATTTGGGATAGTTTCTTCTTTTTTTTCCTGTTCCCCCTTTTCTCGCGAAAGGCCCTTGATCAATGAGAAGAGATTACAATAGTGGATGTATTGATGTAAGTACGTATAAGCGTGTGGTTGGAGTGTATAATGAATGATACTGGAAGTGGTAACTAGTGGTAATGGTAGTTTTTTCTTGATTGCTCTCTTTTGCCTTTTGGTGGGCTGCTACGCGCTATGACGATTTCAATTCGCTTCTTTTTTTTCTTTCTCTCCAACCACTTTGATTAGGCTTTTCTGGGGGTTTTACTAGGTAGGGGGTAGGAAGAGATAGAATGATTGCATTACATCGTCGTAAAGTGTTGAAAGATTCCTTTACTACTACGACGTCGATGGATCGTGTATCAAGTATCGTACTAGCTACATTGAAGCAACGGATTCCCTGCAAAGAGATCAAGATGAACATATCTTCTGCTCGGAGAATTTTCTAATCTTAGTTGAACCTAGGTTTACGTGGGTGGATAGATAGGTAGATAGATAGGTATACCTGGTGGTAGTAGATAGATGGGTAGGTATCTAGCTATCTTTCTTTTCTAGACAAATCTTTACAAAATGAAGGGGAAACCAGAATATTGAAATGTCGATATCAAAGTTTCCATTCTACTTAGCTCCCTAGGTACTATGTATTTGCATTCTCCTATTGCAACCAGATCTACTTACTAGATATCTAGTACTCAGTAGTTATGAGGTTAGCACCTAGCAAGAAAGTAGGTCGTTTATAAAATCTTCGCCTCTACGCTTCTTCGCCTCTTCGTATAAAATCTCTTCCTTCATGAATCATTTGCCCACTCAGACATATGTTGATACCCTTTCTTTTTCTTCTTCTTCTTCTCCCCATCCGTCAGTCAATCTTCAGCTCTGCCATTTTGTCATCATTTCATTACTTCATAGGGTTAAAATCTATCTCGCGGTGAGGATATCCAAGAAATGCATTCAGGGGTCTCTACGTAAGCCAACCTAGGTATCCATGACTTGGATAAGTTGTCCGTCAGCCTGAATCGCTTACCATGCATTCCTCTAAAACAAAAAATCAGATTGACTTCTTCCATCTCATCTTCTAGAAGCTTAAAGTCGGTGGTTCTTCAGCCTTAAATATGTACCATTACTCCTGCCGAGGCATGCTACCGGGAATCCATAGAATCCTACCAGATGACACCAAATACATTCATTCACATTCATTTTTCCAAGGAACTTTTCATGCATATATCAGGCAAAATAGAACAGATTAGAGATGTGTGATACTAGTTGGGTAAGATGACATGATATACCTGTAATCGCTAAGAGCTGCTTCGGAGGAGACGACGACCTTTAAATAATCCATGCTGCATCAAAATCACCTATTTTTATTACGGATGTATCTTCAACCGGAAAGGTGCTTGATGGGTGCAACCCGAAATAGACTTTTTCCTTCATCGTCTCCTTATATCATCAGATATCAGATACGAATCATAAGAACCGTTTTGATGTGATACTACTTGAAGATCATGTTCGCATGCGACGCGATATGTAACGTTCATCCCTCATTCATTTCGCCCCCATTCAGTAGTTTCCCGATTTACGGAAAAGGGGTTCTTTAGTTATGTAAATCTATCTTTTTTCCTTTTGCAATCAACGTTATCTACAGAAAATCCCCGTCTATCATGTCTCAAGAAACCTGGCAGATATATAGGTAAAAACCTCTTCCACACGAAAAGAAATGTTTCAAGCACTCTCGTCAAGTGAATAGACGATATCCTAATTGGCCTACTACACCTGGTCAAAAATAAAGAGATATTAAAGGAGATCTGCAGGAACTCACAAGGAAAGTTCGATTCGGACCGTCCCTGATATAATGGAGATTATTATCTCATTCACATTAACATCCGTTTCCGCGAACCCGCATGCGGAATTCCAATCTATCGCTTCGTTTCATCTACTTCGATATCTCTTCCATGAACTCTAATTTCCATTCTTACGACAGTAGTATTGTTTCACGGCATGAACATAAATGACCAAGCGGAAAGCTACTGCTTGAGTGGAGTCAAGAGAGGTATAACCGTCATAGCGAGATCGGAGTGAGGCAATTCGCAATTCGCATTTAGCATTTGGAATTCGGCATTGTGGCGCGTCTGTAAGACTTGAGGCATGAAGTTAAAAACTTCTTCTTCTCCTCCTTCTTCGAAGCGACGTGTAGGTTCCCGAGAGCAAAACGTGGTGCTCACACCTTAAAGTGCGCATCCATCACCTTGAGTTTAGTGGTACAATATCTTGACGTATGTGGCTAGAGATGCAAAGAGCTCTTTTGAGCTTTCATCCTTACCTAGTAGTTCTAGTCTGTTAGAGGTTGTCGAGCTTGTGCTCTCTCGGGTATTTTTAATTCCTCATTTGAGGTCATCGTGATCGCAAATTCCCATGTTCAGTCAGATCTCACAGATATCACAGATATTTTTGATTTACAGTATCTTTCAAATCAGAATCCTATGGCGGTCAACCATAACAGGAAGGTTGCCACAAGATTTGGAATAATTGCGTGCTTGCACAGCTATCAGCATGTGGAATCAATTGAACTTTTCGAGCTCTCCTATTGGACAAAATCGCGATTTGTCAGATTTCTTGAAGCTTGGGCCATCTTTTTCTTATTGTTCAACCCCTCCATTGACCATGACGACTTGATACAATTGCCACTTCAGATTTGTTTATATTGATACTTATATCCTCAATGGTCTTTGCGCAAACCTATAATACAAATCCTCATAAAACAACTATACCACTGAATCCGAATCAAGTCCTAAAAACCCAATATTAGAGATCTTTGATAATCTCAAATTCTACAATCTGCCTTCTCAACCTATCTCTTTCAAACTTTTCCTCCTCCTCATTCTCCTCACAATAATGGCAGCCATGCCTAATTTCCTTAACCGTCTCATCCGGCCCTTTACATCCTCCTCCTCCCTCTCTGTCACCCCCGCCGCATCACAAGTATCCGTTCCTGAAACTGCGCAAAAATGTACCATTGCCGCAGGTTGTTTCTGGGGCGTCGAACACATGTATCGCAAAGAGTTTAGCGGAAAGGGCTTGTACGACGCGCGTGTTGGATATATCGGAGGCGATACCGAGAACCCTAGTTACAGAGCCGTGTGTTCCGGTTCTACTGGACGTATGTTATATGTTTACCTCATCTTTGTTTTCTTTTGAAGGAAATTTATACTAATACCCGATTTAGACGCGGAAGCTCTCCAGATCCACTACGATCCTGCACAAGTTACCTACCGCCAGTTAATAACCTATTTCTACCGCATGCACGACCCTACTACTTCAAATCAACAAGGTCCAGACAGAGGCTCTCAATATCGATCTGGAATCTTTTACCACAATGAAGAACAGGAGAAAGAAGCGCGGGAAATTACTAAGCAAGTCAATGAGAAGTGGTGGAAGGGAGGAGTGGTCACAGAAATTCTGAAGGCGGGAGAGTGGTGGGATGCGGAGGCGTATCATCAGAAGTATCTAGATAATAACCCAGGTGGCTATGAATGTCCAAGTCATTTTGTGAGGAAATTCCCGCCATTGGAGGACTAGTTTGTGCTGGAGGGAAATTTAGGGGATTCAACATGATTTATGGTGGAAAGATTGATGGTTTGCGGGATCATTGTGGATGGGGTGTATTATACTGAAAGATTTTAATTTTGCAAGACATACATACTACTTCTTTATGCAAGAATGACTATTATTTCTAAAATATCTGAAAATCTTCTCTTGATTAATTTATTATGTATGGTAACTACGGTATAGCGGGCATGGGATTTCTTTCAACAGAGCATATTTTGGCATACTTGAACAAGACAAAATAAACCACAACTCGCGTAAATAAAGGAGCACGAGGGAGTAGAATTCATCTTTCCCGGTTCGTCTCCTAGATTCAATACTTATTAATAATTTTATCAAATAAGGTTTGACGCGCGAAGTATAAAGTGCAAAGTGCTCAGATTCAGATTCAGATACCTATCGAAATGGTATGATACCTAATAGATAGCTAGGTAGATAGGTTTGAGTATTTCGTGTAAGATAGGTATCCGAATGTAAAACTTGGGAGTTTACTCATCTAGTAGTTAGTGATTTCCTAGGTAGGTAGGTAGGTAGGTAGTTTGTGTTTGTTCTTTTATATGAGTATATGGGTATATGGGATAGGATAGGAGGGGATGATAGGTTCAG